TCTTTTATCCACTCCTCAATATAGATTATCTTGCAAGCAGACTAACATTGTTCTTCAAATATGACATGAGGATCCTCATCTTTTCTACTACAGTCGAAATACTTGGTTGATGATTCATTTATTTGTATTTCTCACATCATCTCATCAGCTAGCTATCATTGCTAATAGCCCCTTTCTGGCAATTAGAGCAGATGCAGATTTAGAGAGAGGAGCTCCTTTGGAGCAAATGCCAGAAACATTTTGCTTTCTGAAATAACCATTTTAGGGAGAGGGCAAATTAAAATTATAGGCTTGACCCTCAACCCATATAAATATGTGCAGCACTGTTGAAATCAACAGAGCAATGCCAATTTGCCCCATCTGAGGATGTGGCTGTTCCTTTGTGGCAAAAATTTTCATTCGCATTCTATAGTCTCTGAAGCTGGTTCCAGGTTAGTTTTACGGATCCAGCATTCCCCCTGTATTAAGCAAAATAACTCCTAGTACAGTGGTTTTCAACCTGGGATCTGCAGACTCTTGGGGGTCCATGAAAGCTTGTCATTACCATAGAACAGTGGTTTTCAACCTGTGGTCCACCGACCCCTGGGGAATCTGCAGACTATGTATGTCTAAGATTTTCAAAGGGATCCGCACCGCCATCTGAGATTTTTTAGTGGTCCATCAATTTAAAAAGGTTGAAAACCACTGTCCTAATAGAATATATGACTATTAATTTCTGAGGGCATTCACTGTTTTGTATGTGTTTGTTTATAGATTGGCTGCAAAAAGAAAAATGATTCACATAAGAAATAATGGATGCAGTCCTGCAACTGACACAACTACATGCAGAGTTATTATTGGTATCAAGAGTGACAAGGGTGTTCCATTACAAATGCAGCACTGCAGCTAAACACACACCAACGTACAACACCTGTTGGTGGTTTAAAGAAAAACTATCCATGCCATGTCCAGTGACTAGCACCTAACAGTCCTCAACATTGTCAAATATATTGTTCATGTTGTTGGTTTCACATAAAGCAATTGAATGCCACAGTGTCATCATTTATGTAAAAGTTGCTCAGGTCCTTAGATTTACACCCCAGCACTCCTTGACCCACAGAGCCTGGGAGATTTGGGCCTCCATACTAACTGGGCATATTCAGAGGGTATAGCCAACTATAACCTGCTATAAAAAGGAGAGTGGAAAAGATTTCTCTCTCATATCCAATTTCTGGGGGAATATTTAGCTTTGTATTTGTACGAGCTATGATAGCAAGTGAAAGTTCATATATGGTTTGTAAATGTAGCAAATAGAATGGGGTCGGGAAAACTTACTCTGCAGGATAGAATCCTAAGCTACCAAACACACTGGTCCCAGTCCAGCAAAGCATTTAAGCAGGAGTAGTCCTGATGAAGTTAACAGAACTATTTGTGCTTAAATGCTATGCTGAATAGAGGCCAGAGTTTTCAGCACTTTGAGGGTACAAGTTCCTGATGAACAAACTGCAGGAGACTCCAAAACTTAGAAAATGTTTCAGACACCTGGGGATTCTTTTAAATATGCATGACTGATATTTACTGGGAAGGCATCCCAGGCCTTTAACTCCTTTTGGCCTTTTTTTTTTTTTAATTGCAACTACCTTTTCAACAAATGCAAGTTCCAGCCTGTGCAGAACACCATTGCATGCACAAAAGTGAGACTGGAAGGTACATAAGAATATTGTAAGACGAAATTTAGTAGATTAGTAATTTTGTGAGGGAGATTTTTTTGGAAGCATTACAGCCCAGTTCCTAGTGAACATTTGTTAAAGCTGGGTGTTATAAGTCTTGATGCAATAACCTCTGTCTGCTTTTGATGATACTCTGCAGTCTGCACAGATTCAGGACAACTGAAGATCAGGTTTGAATTTTAACCAGTTCTTTGTAGTTCAGAAGTGTTTTCTGTGAAAGAAATATGTCCTGGATCAGGTACTGGTAGAGGTACTTTCTTTGCGGCCTCATACAAAAGTGTAAGGCATCCTATTACATGGAACATGAGCTACAATTTCTCAGACACCTAGGAAGCAGCAAATCAGGCTGAAGAAACTGCCTACAAGTCTAGAACACATTATCTTCAGCAACTAGCAGTCTTGAAACTCATTCAGTTTAACTACATACTGTGAAAAAAGAAGAAAAGGTGAAATCTTCACCATATATTAATTTTGTTCTCACAATATTAATCTCAATCCTCTACTGAAATCTGCATATCCAAAACCTCTAGCCATGTTAATCCGTGTTAATGCATGAAATTTGTGCTTGTGAAAGGTGCCCGATTGACAGCCTCAGAAAATGAAGTCCTGGGGATAAATGAAGACCAGGTTCATACAGGCAGAAGCAGCACCGACTTCTCCAAAGAAGGGATAGGTCAGTCTCTGTGCCCATCCTGTCCTTGACCTCTCTGTCCTGGGCATTCAGCAAGGTGGCAACTGATGTTGTTTAGTTATAGTGCAGGTCACAAAAAACACATTTTACCGCCTCAGAGCCATCATTCACAAACTACTTTTGCTCCTACCAACCAAGGCTGGATTTAAACCAACAATCTCAAGATGATGCTGTGTGTCCCAGTGCCAGTCCCATGACACACCGAGTCCCTTCCATAAAATGTAAAAATAAAACCTACCCCATCAAGACTCAATGTGCTGAACGCACCAACTAAATAGGTTAAGTTATCCCCCATGGACGCTACACTGCTGACATCACATCATGGAATCCCAGCTGGTGCATAAAGATAGGAAATAGGAATTAGGTAAGTAAACATTTTCTACAAAGATGCTTTATTCTATACAGTTTCCTATTCTTTTTTTTTTTTAATTACAAACCACACATTCCTGCACTTACCAAACCCCTCAATTAGCTAATTTCATGCCCTAACAGGTTGTGATGACAGCAGCATAGTGCATGCTGAGATATCAGTTGAAATGCAAACCAGCTCTTATTCTGCTTACTCTGAACATTCAGCACATGCTTCTGACCTTGGCAGGCTTCCAATACCACATTTAAAAAGTCTGGTAACATAGGAGTGCTGGAAAAGACTGCTTTTTATTACCTGGCCTCAGCTATATAGACTCATAGACTTTAAGGTCAGAAAGGACCATCATGATCATTTAATCCAAACCTCACCACTCCTGTAATAGACCCCTAACCTCTGTCTGAGTTACTGAAGTCCTCAAATCATGGTTTAAAGACTTCAAGGTGCAGAAAATTCACCATTTATACTAGTTTAAACCTGCAAGTGACTCGTGCCCCATGCTGCAGAGGAAGGTGAAAAACCCACAGGGTCTCTGCCAATCTGACCTGAGGGAAAATTCCTTCCCGACCTCGAATATGACTACCAGTTAGCCCCTGAGCATGTGGGTAAGACCCCCCAGGCATAACTCAAGCAATTCAAGAGACCCAGTGTACACAGGATTCTAAATCACTGGAACCCAAGATCCTTTGTCTGATGTATATAAAAGGGACAGAAGTACGGTGGCACCAAATGTCAGAAACTAGAACATTGCCACCAAATTTGAGGAATTAGGAGGCTTGAAACCCTAGTTTGAGGAATGCAAATAAATTCAGAAGTGGGCCCTTGTGCTTAACATAAAAAAAATAATCAAAGCTCTTATTCTCTCTACAATATCAATCTGCCATGAACATGCAAGTATGCAGAACATTTTGAAATGAACTTGGCTACCAGTCTCACTGCACATGGAGCCAAGTCTGCTGAACCATTCACCAGCACCATAGCAAGCAACAGGGCAGCCTTCAACAAACTTAATCCAAAGGACAAGTCCATCAGAAGGGGGAAATAAGTGCTAGTGGCCTGCTTTTCACCAAAAGAGGAAAATGGAGGAGTTGAGCACAAACAGCACCTGAAATGCATGGGCTAATCTGAAAAATTTACCAATCTGGAGGAAATGCCGGGGGGGGGGGAGGAGTTGGGAGAGGATGGAAACAGTTCAGCTGACACCAGTGCAGAGAGCTGTGAATGAAGTTTCCAAAGGCAACCTGAGAACCAGATCTGTTCTGGGGAAAGCCACTGACTGTAGCCATAAAAAGCCAAAAGAAAAGGAGTACTTGTGGCACCTTAGAGACTAACCAATTTATTTGAGCATGAGCTTTCGTGAGCTACAGCATAGGGAAGGCTTGACATTAATAGGCCCATTTACCGTAGGAAACTAATTACATCCTGCACAAAGACAAAATTACAATGTAATATGCTCAGTGTATCCAAGAATCTAGTGATCAAGAAATCTGACAAATTATTTTAAATAAATTAAGTTGTAGTTAAGCGGCAGAAAAGGAAACAAAACCTGGAAAAAACACAGTTCAAAGCAAAATAAGGTATTAATATTAAAATATGATCGCCCCTGGAATAAGTTTCTGCTTCTAAGTGTACCCCAAAAGCACTAACCCATTCTGTTCTCCCAAAAAAGGGAAGCAGATGACCTGATTTCCACTACCTTGCATCCTGTGTATTCATTTACCCTCATGCAAGGAATGCAAATTGCTACCAAATCAGAATGGTACTGATTTACACCCAATTTTCATAGAAGAGAACAACCATGAGGGATGAGGCAATGGAGAAACAGGCTCCAAATCTTTTCTATTTCAGAAGCTGGTCAGTAACAGGGCAAAAAGTTTGTCATAATCAGACCTGAAACTGTGCATGGCACACTGTTCCTAAAATTCCCCCTGTGGGCCCCATTCTTGTCAGCAAAACGAGGCAAAAAGTCTCATTATAAATATGTTGGGCATACGGATGGAGTCAGCACTGAGTGGAGGGATGGCCTGTCACGGTGCAGTCTCAAAATTTGCTTTTCTGAATGGCTGAGTTACCCTGCTAGATTTTCATACATTGAGGTTGGCTATATGAGCACTTGTGATCACTTTTTTCTTCCCCTTCAGGACAACTGGGGCTCACCTAGTATCCTGTAAGGAGTCTGGGAGGAAAAAAAATTGTATAAATCTTATATAAATTAACGCAAACCAATGACAAATATAAATAAAATGTTTAATACCTGTAATTTATTATATACATATGCAAAACTTATCTGCACTCTGCATGTGCAAAAGTATACACTTTCTTGCCAGCACCCAGAAAACAGTTAAGCTATGTAAGTTTTTACCTGATTTGTCACATTGTGTAAAAAGACACTGTGCACAAATGAAACCCCCAAAGAAAATCAGAGGCTAAAACAGAAAGCATTCAATTACACACTGACAATTCAATATTGCATCACACTCACCAGAATAAATAAGTCAAGTATATTCATCACAATTTAAACACCAGTCTCTCTCCATATATTTTCTCTCTGTTTTGGTCTCCTGCTGTATTGGGAAATATGCTTCAGATACTAATTAAGTTTCAAAATGAAAAAAAAAAGTTTTCCTGCACAATTTTGGGGTTTACACAAAAATAATTCCAGACTCCAGTGAGGAGATTTCATATACTTTGAAAGATTTCTACTTTAAAGCACAGGACAGAATTGCACACTAAGGCTTCCTGTGATATGCACTACCCTGACCTCCGGACAGTGCTGTGATGTGTAAGCACAGCTGAATTGTAAATACAAAACATTTTCAAAAAGTTGAATACAAAGTGCCTTTAATTTCTTTTAGTAATACAGGTAAAGAAATAGCTACTGTGACTGTGCAGTTGAAGCCTGACCTGGAAGGGTTTTATGAAAACTAATCATTTCAGACTATCAAGTAGAAAGGATCTGTCATCCGTGATAGCAGAAACAGACTAACCTTTACTTTTTTATACTCCTACATTCATGAATAGATTTTTTACACCCAATTTAGTAAAAAAAAAAAAAAAGGCACATCTTCAAACACTGAATTAAAAATCTAAAAACCAAAAAAAAATCCCAAACGTTTAATTACGATGAACGTCACTGGCTTAACATGTAATCCTTATAAACAGGAATAGGCAGTGTTTTGTTGTTGTTTGTTTTTTACTTGAAAGTCTTTTGAAGAGTCATCAGATATTGACGACATTAACAAAATAAAATTAACTATCTGGTAGAGAGTAAACAGACTTTTGGATATAAAATATTTTTTTAGTACTTTCCTAGCTGATTTACAAGCAGTAAGAATGCAGTAGATGTACAAAGACATGTTAATTAAAATATAGTAACCTGTACAAAGTTTGAAAAATCATTAGTAACCCATACTAGCTATGAGAAAGTATTTCCTGACTGCAAAGATGAATTAAATTTCTATATGAAATATCAAAAAAAATTTAATTATTGTTTTATGAGGAAACAAATACAGCACAAGGTGTACTGTGTTTGAGGAAGGTTGGCAATGGAGATGATATTCCAGTTATATTGTATAAGACAAATGACAACACAGTGCTTTCAAGATTAAAGAGCTGAACTAATCTTGTAATAGTGGTTAATTACAGCATATCTCTGCCAAGTACATAAGTAAAAAAAGGATAATCAGGGCTTTATTTCATCTATTTTTATCTGAAATGCAGATTTAGCTCTAAACTGAATATTTTAGAAGTGTCATTTTCTAATATACACTTTTGAAAATGTCAGTGGATCAAACAGTGAATACGTTTTTCATTTCCGAAGTTTTTTTCAACATTTCAGATTATTGTTTGGGGCTAATATATAATTTGGGCTGACAAAGACCTAGAGGTACAATTCAGTTTAAAAAAATGAACAGCAACTTGGTCATAGTCCCAACATTCAGTCATTGTCTTGAGTGGATAATTCTAGAAACTACAGCAAACAATTCAGTTGGTCCCATTAAGCAGAGCAAACATACAATGACATGTAATCAACCAATCAGGTTACAGTATCTTGCATCATCTCAAATATATATATATATATATATGTATATTGAGCAGGTACAATAGAGATGGACCAATTTTTATGTTATTCAATATACACAGTTTTTAAAAAAATACAGAGGCGCACTGGTAATTACCTTCATTTGGGTATCTGTCAATTACTACTACACAAACCTGTAACAACTATTCAAAGGGTTCATTCATTTTAGCAATGTATTGAAAAGATGGAATGCTACACCACTGCCAAAACAGTTTATAATAGGGACAATGCCCCCTTTTTCCTTACAAGTCAGGTCACCTGCTGCCAATATTGGTCCTTCCACTTTGATGCCAGAATTGGTGTTTCTGGAGGCAGCAATGACATGAAATGCTCTCTGAGAGGCTAAGTTCCCTCCTTCCTTGTGTATCTACTCATTTTGCATGCAATTTCTCTTCCCCCACCTCTTCCTTATTCCTTGGCCAGTCTCTTCCATTTACCCCCAATAACCTTGTAACACTTTGCCAAATGCTTCTAGCATTAGAGGTTAGCAACAGTTTCAGTATCGAATGGTAGAAGTCCTACTAACAGAGAGCTAATGCTTGAAGCAGAGTAGAGCAGTGATCCAGGCTTTTTGATGAGACCACTCACTGTGGTAGCGTGGGGGGATAAAAAGTAATGCATCATTAGATTAGGGCTGTGAACCCAGAGTGCAATCGCTGCAGATTTAGATGAACCCTGTGCGTATTGTTTACATGCTTATTTTCTGAGAGGAAACTTATCTTTGTAGTGCATAGTTTGACATAAAGGTGCAATATGGGCATCAAAATAGAGGGCAGAACTCTCTTGATACTCATTACATTTGAATTTTTGGTTCACTAAAATTAAATCAGAAGTATTCACTAGTTAAATTCAGGATGACAACTGCAAAGTTATTTGATATCACAGAGGAATTGCAAATGCATCTTGGCTTGATCATAAAAAAAAATCTGAAAATTCTGTATTTCACACAACTTAATTCTCATGTACTCTTCCAGACTTTGGAACTGCTTGCATAAATAACTGTTTCATATTTTAAAAACCTGATTTTTAATGCAAGAAAAAACATAAAAGTGTACTGTACACTCAATATGTAAAAACAGATGAAACTGTAAAACCAATTTTAAGATTTACAGGGCAGAAAAAAATTCCTTAGCATTTGCTTGAGCCAAAAAGCACTAGTTATATTCAAACGCTGCAAATTCCTATTTTCCAGGAAAAAGGTTTATTATTTGTGTTTTACTGAAATCGGTTGGCACGGGCATTCCAGACATAAAAAACGCCAGTGTAATCTTGGTCACACTGGTAAATGCAAGGTATAATGAAAGACAAGCATTTTTTTAGAAATCGAAGGTTCTTCTGTTTAATTACTATTTTTGTTAAGACACAAGGTTCTCAAATCAGAAAAACATCATTTTATTGCTTTAAACAATGGCTGAAATTTACAACCAAGCTATTTTGAACAGAAGATGATATTTCAATATTTTGAGGGATCCTAACTCAGGAGATTTAAGACACAAAGCAGTACTTTTATCTCTCAAAAATAACTAAGGAACATAAATGGCATTCATCTTTTTTTTTTCCACATGTCAAATGAAGAATGCAAGTCTGATTTACTGGTGTATGGGCCCACATAAATCTTGCAAGCCAGTGCATAGTTAGTCAATATTTCTGCTGGCATTTTGAACTAATTTAGTCAATGGAAACTAATTAATAGCTTTTATTCCAAAAATCTGCATTAGTTTCTTTTTGTAAAAAATTAACCCTGGCAAGTATTAAAAATAAATATTTTAGGGTCAAACTAAAGCCTTGTTTTTCTATGCCCTTTCCTCCCTTTACATATTTTCTTGCTCACCAATAAGCAAATAAAAACTAAAGTCGTACTATACGAGGAGCTGAAATATGGAGGCAAAGGGGTGACCAGGATAGTAGAAAAACAGAACAAAACCACTATAAATCAGTTAACGTGTCCTCAGCTTCTTTGCCTGCCTCTTACGTTTCAATTCCTCCTCTTCACGTCTCAGCTCTTCTAGGTCCTCTTGGACACCAAGTCTCAAACTGCCAAATAAGAGAAGATATCAAATCCTTTACACTACTACTACCCAGGAGACATTAACGTGTACAACTCCTGCTCTCCTTTTCATGTAGAAAAAGTAACTAACCCAAATTTAGAGTTTAAATTAAAGTAATAAATACACCAAGTATTCAAATATTTGAAGTTTGGCTTAAGACATTTTTCTTTTTAAATGAAAGCTGCAAGGTACCCAGAAGTTTAGGTTTGTTGGGTTACAAAGATCTCTCTCCACTTCAAGGATGCACAACAAGCCTAGGATATTTGGTTAAAAGCATTTTGGGGTAGAGAGAAAGATATTTTGCGCAGGTGCTTTACAATTAATACCACTCTTTCCTTAGACTTTTAAGGGGAGCATCTAAAACCTTCAAAAACAGGTTTTTCAATTAAACAGGGAGCCAGGTGATCAACACTGAAAAACCCTTGTTTCAGGGTCCCAATCACACAACCTGGTGAACAGCAACTGCTGTGTAGCATTCAAGTAATTGATTGGACAGTTGGTCCCCATAACTCCATATTGCAGGCTGACTAACTTTGTGAGAAGATTTCAGAGTAACAGCTGTGTTAGTCTGTATTCGCAAAAAGAAAAGGAGTACTTGTGGCACCTTAGAGACTAACCAATTTATTTGAGCATAAGCTTTCGTGAGCTACAGCTCAAGTAGCTGTACCTGGGGAAGCAATCAAGACCTACTGGCCAACCTTGGGGTGAGAAGCTGCAAGTATGCAATACATAACACACCTTTTAAAAGACAATGTAAAGGCCCAATAATGGAAACAGGAAACTTCTGTAAATGTCTCTATATTTGAGTCCTGGTACTCAGTAGCTGGGGTAAAACACTGAGTAGATTTTATAACTGCACCACATTCCTCTTCAAACCATGCAGAAAATAAAAATCTACTACAGACTGTTGGTCTGTGTCATATTGCCATTGAAGAGAGGCCCCAGATATGCATGACTGAAATTCAAAAATCTGCTTTATTTTTCACTATTTTATTATAACTATACTTGCATTTCTGTGTCTGGACACTGTTTATATATGCATTTACTAGTCAATTCCTTTTTCCAGCTCTCAAGAATTAGCAAAATTCTACAATATTTAAGTGATAAACCACAAGGTTTGTTAACGTTTTTTGACTGGAACTATAAGACACTTAGGGAAGATATTTGGCCTTAAGTTGTATGTAAGCCTGTTTTCACAAAGCTTATATTTAGGACCAGATTTCACCCGACAAATGTCCATTTTAACTCAGCTGCATGACTTAAAGATACTAGTACAGTCGTAAGGAGAAGAAAATTCTTGCTATCAAAACTTAAATCTAATTCATACCTCCTGGCTTCCTCTTTCTGTTGCTCTTTCCAGCTGCTCTCCATGTAACGTAAGGCATAATCACTTTCATCTTTATATCTGAAAGCAAATACTTATATTTAATCCAATATAATGAGAAACAAAAATTAGAGCTAGTCAATACTAATATATATGGCTGAATTATGAATAGGCATGTTTTTTTAAAAAGATTATCCTGATATATACCCAATTACATTTCTCCAAAAAATTAAAATCAAGTTTTAACCCACTGAATAATAAACATACTTTAACTTACTTAATCGAGTATTTGTTAACCCATGTTCAATAGTGAATTACAGAAAGCGTGTCCTGTCCTATGCAGCACATCTGACACTTGACACGGCCCATTCCATTTAGTTTCTGTTGCAGTGCTAACTATATCAGACCTGCTGTTGAAGGTCCAGGTGTCCATAACAGCATAATATGGAAAAGACTGAAATCCTTCCTAGTATTCTTCATTAAAAACTAACAAATGTATCCATATGATTTAGTCTTTGAGCCACAAGACCAACATAGTAAAAGAAAAGCACTTGACAGTATGCCAGGTTTTTTTAGTCTCTTATTTGAATAGTTTTGCTCTTTTTCTTATCTAGGACTTTGTATTGTTTAGTTGCCCACCTTCCTTCTCATCCACCAAAAAAAGACAAATGGAAGTCAAGTAGAAACCAAGTAGGCAACTGCTTCCTCCTTCACACAATTCAACAGTTTGAGGGGGTTCACCTCTTGTGGTTGAATAGTCATGATATTTTAATGACAGCCATACTGATTGGTAAGACAGCTGTGGAAGAACAACTGCAAGCAGAAGAGGATAATACTTCTGCTTCACAAATCTTCAGGTCAAAAGTGTTCGCCTGATACTATTCAAACTAATTAATTCATATGGTGGGTTATGCTTACATGGCAACTCTATTAGGGTTGCCACACTGTGCCAAAGAAAATATTGTTTTATCAAGAAAAACTGAGGTTTTTGAAATATCATTACGTTTAAAAATATACCTTAAGAAAGGAGGCAGAGTACGAAACGAGGAAAATAAAAGGTTTCATTTCTTGGTCAGTGTGTACATATGTTTATTGCTCTATGCAACAAATATATCAGAGGTTTGACCATCTGACAGAACAGTTAACACAAATTGAAGAGCTAGTTACAGAGCTTGACCCTTAGGCAACAAGATACTATAACGCTGAATATAGCATAACTATTTAGAAGATAGACTTACAGGCTTCCATAGAAGGCATTAAATACCACAGGGCTGGAAATACATATTGTCAGGTATCACATACGGCAACGTGAAGAATTGATAATTTCGTCATTTATGTTCTATTACCACAAAATTTTATATCATTCTAGTTTTTAATCAAAACATCATGCAGTACTTCGTCAAACGCCTTATAGAAGTCTGAATATATTATGCAAAACTATTACTTTTATCAACCAAACTTGTAATCTCATGAAAAAAAGAGATATCAAGCCAGTTTGATAGACTCTATTTGCCATAAAGCCGTGTTGATTTGCATTAATTACATTACCCTCCTTTAAGTGTTTATTAATCAAGACCCATATCAGCCACTCCGCTATCTTGCCTGGGACCCACATCAGGCTGCCAGGCCTATAATTACCCAGGACATCCCACTTATCCTTTTTAAAACTTGACACATCATCAACTTTCTCCTCATCTTCCGGACCTTCACCAATGCCCCAAGACTTATTGAAAATCAACATTAATAATCCAGTGAGCTCCTCAGCCAGCTTTTTTAAAGTCTTGGATGGCAGTTATCTGGACCTGCTGATTTAATAACGTTTAACTTTAGTAGCTTCTGTTTAACACTCTCCAAAAATACTTGTGGAATTGAAAGCACGTAATCACTATGTGATTAGACTATAACATCTGTTTTACCCCCAAATACAGAACAGGAATATTTTTTGAACTCTTCTGTCTTTTCTGATTATTGATAATTCTACCATTTCCATCTAGTATTAAACCAATAACATTGTCAGGGGATTCTTTTTGTTTCCAACATATTTTTAAAAGTCCTTCTTATTGTCCTTAATTCTGCTGGCTATAGATTTTTCCTTGTGTCCTTTTACTTCCATTATCAATTTTCTCAAAAAGAAAAGGAGTACTTGTGGCACCTTAGAGACTAACCAATTTATTTGAGCATAAGCTTTCATGAGTTACAGCTCACTTCATCAGATGCACGAAAGCTTATGCTCAAATAAATTGGTTAGTCTCTAAGGTGCCACAAGTACTCCTTTTCTTTTTGCGAATACAGACTAACATGGCTGCTACTCTGAAACCTATCAATTTTCTACAATTCCTAACTTTCAATTTATATTCATCACTGTCAACATCTCCTTTCTTCCATTTGTTATATATATTTTTTTATTGTTGCCTTCACTTCCCCTCTAAATCAGATTGGTTTTTTTAACCAGCATGACCTTCCACCTCAGTTGTTGAATTGTGGACATTGGAGCATTTACTAAGATGTTTTTAAATGATCCTCAATTATCATTCACATTTTTTCTGATTAAATTCTTCCTTCCAGCTGATTTGGCTCATAATTGTTTTCAGCTTTGTAAAGTTGGCTCTGTTAAAGCATCAAGTATATATATGGATATAAGTGTGTGTGTGTGTATATATATATATATATATATATATACACACACACACACACACACACTCACTCTACTGGTTGGACTTTCTTCTGCTTGCACATTATAAATGTGATCAAGTCATGATCACTTGTAACTAACCTACCATTAATTTTTAGTTCTGTGATCAGTTCTTGCCTGTTAGAACAAGGTCTAATAAAGAATTCCCCTATGTTGGGTGCAACACTAAGTGTTTAACAATTTACAGTTTCAGAAGAAAAGAGCTGGTCAAACAAAATTAATGTAGGACATGAAAATATTGTTACATCTTAATTTCTCTTACTTATTCCGATCATAGCCAAATATTTCTCGAATATGTTTTGATATTTCTTCCTGGGGTTGCCCTTCATCATCAATGAAATCATCCATTTCAGAATCATATTCCTCATCATCTTCTATTTGTCTTTTATAACTTATAGGTGGAAGAGAAGGCCTTGGAAGACCTAAAGAGAAAGAGTAAAAATATTTACGACTTCTGTAACTCATGTGTTACAAAATAATCTTCACTACTGAAATGATTTTTATTATTTTTCTATTTATGCTTTTCCCCATTACTTCTCTCCCCTCTTCTTCTTCTTGATAAATAAATGATTTCACTGGACTCTGTGCAGATATATCTATTATTTGAGGTACAATTTGCAGCTCTGGGCTGCAAGACTGAGTTTTTAAAAAAAACCCACTGATTTGGACATTCCAAGAGTCTCAGCAAGAGGAAATATTTCCTCTAAGCTACATGTACAAGACAAGTTTCCCATCATTACAGTCAACTGCATCCCAGAGGAACTGCCAGAATGAAAGGTAAATTTATGCCTGCATACTTGCTCAACCATGGAATTTCAAATACACTGGTTTGCAAAAGTGCTATCCCATTTACAACTGCAAAGATTTTTTTTAAAACTTCACTTCCCCATGCCAACAAGGTGGAGTAAATCCAGACAACACTTACTAAGCATACTTCACAGGTTTGTTGTGGGGCCTAATGTTTATGAAGTACTTTGAGATCTTTGAACAGAAGGCACTATTAAAATTTAATTAATTCTTCACTATTTTAAATGACACCTGGCCTCAGGAATCCTTCATTTCTTCCCCTTTGGCCACTCACCCACCTACCCTTAAAAAGTAGCTTGTGGTTATAAAAGTTACCTGAAAAGACCTAATTACATTTTTTTGGCTAGTTGGACTCCTCTCTCCTTCCTTTCTATTTATTAATTTTGTTCTTTTTCACTGGAAAAGACCTCACCTATCTGAGGATCTTATTTTCTTGGGTGTAAGTGTCAGGTGAAGAGGAAAGAAATATTGCAATGAGCAGCAAGGGGAGAGAAAAAGTCATATTGCTATTTAGTGGCACTCTTCAGAATGCCATTCTGGCTATCAGATACACTTAGAAAAATCTATCTACAACCTCACTTGCAATTCTGATCAACTTCAACCTCAGAAGTGTGCAACAAGTAATGCATGAAACTTATTTATAACACAAAAAAATTATTTGCTGAAAACAGCATACCTTGTGGATGAAACACTGGTCTATGCCCTGGAGGAGGTCTTGTTCCATTCATTTGTGCATTACTTGGTCTGGAGACTAGATTTTTAGATGAAATTGTTTCTGATACAACAGTGCACTTAGGTTTTGGAGGTACAACTGAGCCACTGCCTGGTCGCCCAGGTCCCATGCTTGAATTGACTGATTTTCCAGGTCCTGTACCCACACTGCTCCCCAGCCGCCCAGGCCCGCCCGTCCCGGCATTGCTCCCCGGCTGCCCGGGCCCGCCCGTCCCCGCGCTGCTCCCCGGCCTGCCCGTCCCCACACTGCTCCCTGGCCGCCCTGGCCCGCCTTTTCCTGCATTGCTGGGCAGCCGCCCAGGCCCGCCTGTTCCTGCATTGCTGGGCAGCCGCCCAGGCCCGCCTGTTCCTGCATTGCTGGGCAGCCGCCCAGGCCCGCCTGTTCCCGCACTGCTCCCCGGCCTGCCTAATCCCGTACTGCTCCCCGGCCGCCCGTGCCCGCCTGTGCCTGCACTGCTCCCCGGCCGCCCGGGCCCGCCCGTCCCCGCCCTGCTCCCCGGCCTGCCCATCCCCACACTGCTCCCTAGCCGCCCGGGCCCGCCCGTTCCCGCACTGCTCCCCGGCCGCCCAGGCCCGCCCGTTCCTGCACTGCTGGGCAGCTGCCCGGGCCTGCCCGTTCCTGCACTGCTCCCTGGCCTATCCATCCCCGCACTGCTCCCCAGCCACCCAGGACCACCCGTCCCTGCACTGCTGGGCAGCCTGCCCATCCCTGCACTGCTCCCCGGCCGCCCGGTCCCGCCCATCCCCGCACTGCTCCCCGGCCTCCCAGAGCTGGAATTTTTAACAATTTCATGCTGAGGGGGTGCTGCACTACCCAGTTTTGTATGGACAGAAGTAGATTTTTTCAGATTAAGTTCTTTAGCAGACTGTAGTTTCTGAGCCCCATTAGCAGGTGCTTTTGAGCTTGGTGTATGAGAGCTTGACCCAAATTTTCCTACTCCATTGACTGAAGATTTACTATGGATGCCACTCGATGACCTTTTTAAAGATCCATTTTGTGTAACTTTTGCTTTTTCCACTTGACTGGATTTGGAAGAAGATGATGACCTTGCATGTTTGTTGCTAAACACAGGCCCACTGGATTTCTTATCAGCGCCACACTGAGAGGGGAAGCTGCCTTTTGAAGAGGAATGTTTATCCACTGAGTTTTTACTGAGTTTTGCGTTTATAAACTCTTTATGAGAAAACACTTTATTTGAAGTTACATTCTTAATCTCTTTTTCAGGTTTTTTTTTCTCTTTTTGGGTTTCCCCTTTTTTGTTTTTCCGGTCCAAAAATTCTCTCTCTCTCAATTCTTCTGCTGTTCTTGGCCTTTCTTCTGTCTTTTTCACTACTTTTATTTCTACTGGTTCATACTGTTTTTTTTCAGCGAGCCTCAGAAGATCTACAAAGTTCATAGGGGTAGGAGCACTTTTGGGAAGTGCCTTTGGTTTCACTGCAGCTTTGGATGGTTTCTCTTCATATTCTTCTGGTTCATGCTCAGATTCAGTCTGACTGTATTCAAATCGCTCTGCCTCATCTTCTGTCATATATTCTGCATCTGTGCATCGATCAACACTTTCACAAGTCTGCCTCTTTTTAGGCTTCTCTTCAACAGGAATGCCATTATAGCCATAAAAGTTGTCCTTAGTCCGTGAAGCCATAGCTCTTGCTTTTCGGTCATGTTTCAGTTCAATACGCTTAGCTAGAAGTTCCTCCTTCTTCCTTTTTGCCTCTAGTTCTGTAAAAGAATATCAGGAAAAGATTTTTCAGTCACGTCTAATCTAAATTTCTGGAGATAAAGAATTCCAGAGGGGTTAAGTAAATATTATGAAGAACATGGCTACAGTTCAGTCTGCATAACAACAACTATAGGGAACATACACACAACTTAAAAACACCAACAGTCTGAATAAAGTCTACAGCCAAAAGATTTAAAATTAATCCAGACGGGGTTAGCGTATCTAATTTTTAAAGGCATAATGTTCTGACGTAAAGACAGGAATCCTGGCTTTTTGTCACTTTCAGACACTGTTAAATACAGTTTTTTCAATATTAAAAACTGTACAAAAGTTCAGAACAATTCCTTGTGCCCTCTCCTGGTTCATGCTATTAGTCCATTCTTGCTGCTTTGACAACGAGTGCAGAAGTGCTGTTGAGCAAACATTTGGATTCACAAAGGAGAACATGCGCAGCCCTGCTCTACAGTGGTTCTGACTCTGCAGGAATTATGAAAGGACATTCCAAAGCGTGGGGATCTATAACAATAATATTCAAAGGCACGTAAGGAGTAGGGTAAAAATGTCCCAAACAGAGTCACTGAAGAAGTTGTTCTCCAGTAGGGAATACTCTGAACAACTTTAACAGGTACCTTTTCCCCTATTTTCTTCTTCTTTCCGTCTCAGAAAAGCTTGCACTGCTGCAGAATGGACACCTTTGACTTTTGGATCTTTTTTGGGAGGGCCTACTGCCAAACTGTATCTTTTCTGCAAAGAGAAAGCAAATTGATCAGAAGAAAACAAAGGTCTTAATATTTATAGCTGTTTTTACTAAGTGGGAAAATCACAGTCAATGAGAAGTTTAGGCTATCTACACTACGGACTTTATAGCAGCACAGCTGTACACTGCACCTGTGCAGCCTCTCTATGCCAGCAGGAGAGAGCTCTTCTGCCGGCATAATTAAACCACCCCAATGAACGGCGGTAGCTATGTCGGCAGGAGACGCTCTCCTGCCAACATCGCGCAGGTCACACTGGTGCTTTTGTCGATGAAATTTATGTCAGTCAGGGGTGTGTTTTTTCAGACCCCTGACCAACAAAAGTGTTGCTGACAAAAGTGCTAGTGTAGACAAAGCCTCAGTAACAGGGATTTATCTGGCTTTAAATAGGTTAACAATGAAAGGCAATATTCATTAAGCAACAGACTTTAACAAGAAATGAGGCGGCTCTGCATTGCACAGGAACAGGCCCTATGTACAAAAGTCATAGCAAAGGAGCCATTCTGGGCATAAAAAGGACAAGGAACCAGAAAGGAGGAAATGGACCCAAAGAGAGGACAGAAGAGAATCAGAAGGGATGAAGAGGAAAAGGAGGGGAGATTGAAAACGTGTGCAATAGCCACACCAGTGGTCTAGTAGAAACAGCCATTAGAATGGACCCAAATGCAGCTCTACACTCCCCGGCCCAGTAGGGGAAAGGAGTACCACAAACATCACACAAGCCTTTGTCTGGAGAGTGAGGTAATACACCTCACTCTTGCATGACTCCCCCCTTTGCAGATGGGAAGAGTTTACAGGCTTCATCCAGCCTTCCTTGTCTGCCTGCATACAAACTAGAATCAATATAACTACATTGGCTCTATTTTATATGATTAGTTATTTTTGATGCAAATCTGTGTGTGAACCCTAATGTCAGATTAAGCATAATTTCTTTGGATGTAATTTAATTTGGTAAAAAAAATCAATTTACATTACATCCAAATAGGATACTCTTAATCCAAAATATGTGTCCACACAAAGATTTCCTCTGACATAATTAAAGGTGTGAAACTGATGTAGTTATTTCAGTTCCAGTGTGACAGCAGTCAAGCCCTTTGACTTAAGTGGTTACTATCACACAGAACTTTCAAGGAGTGGAAGAAGTAAAAAGGAGAGAATTGGCGATTACTGGAACTTCTTCCCTCATACAAAAGAGGCTTCAAACTAAAAAGGGTTAGAGAAGGAAGCAAAGGTGACAATGGATAAGATAATGGAAATAGAGGAAATTAGTTAAATCCAAAAGCAGCTGGGAGAACCAAAGGAAGGTAATTTTAGAACATGTATATCTTCCTTTCTGCTAATAAGCAAAAGCCTTTAGCTAATTGGACAGCTAGGTGAAACAAAATTGCTCTAAAATTTTGAGATTCCTCCCCATTTGAAAGAATTGCCTGGGGAAATGAGCTGAAATTCTGCCATATATGAAACCATAAGTATTCCTACAGCTGGTAGTGTGCTGAAACACACCATCACTGGTTAGTCTCATTCAACAAACATCATGACCAAGACACTTAATTTAAGAAATAATTTTACTGGATAACATCTGGAAAAAGAAATCTATGCCCAAATACCTTGGAGGTAGAAAAATTGGTTAGCAGTGTAATTTTACACATACTTAAGTATATGTCCAACTGGAGTTTTTCAGCTCTAATTTCTGATGAAGACTGCCACATACCAACACAAATGCTTTGCGTGTTTTATATAAAAATACAAGCTTGTGTTAAAACAAATATGTATATACTAAGCTTCAAGGTTCAGAAGATCATTTCTACTAAGCACTAAGCCAAAACTGGTTCTTAGAACACCAGCTGCAAGGCTCCTGTAGCAGCTGTTTAAGAGTTGCCTTTTAGTAATTCCTGAAATTGCTAAAGCAAAACTAAAAAAACCACAATCTCATTTCAGTAGCAAAACTTGACATTCAGCATCAAGTTAAAGAGCCTTCCAGAACCTGAATGTATCTACTGATAGATATGTCTACACATAAAACGTATCTTCACAATCTGAGGACTTCTTGCAAACCCCTTACTCCTTTGAGTAGTTAACTCACACAAACAACAATCCTTTGCACTTGCAATTGAAATCCATGGGACTAATCATATTAGTAAGGACAACTAGAGAGAGTAAAGATTTCCAGGGTTCATTCGAAAGGCACCAATAGCAGTTTTGTTAGTTGTTCAACTTTGCTATTAGGTACAAAATAAACTGTCCGGGGAACTAAACAGTTCAGGGGATCTGCATTGGGATACGAAGTTTTTCACATCTGGGTTTTTGGTTGAAATCCAGCCCGTGTTTGTAGTGGGTGAAAATATTGCCATATAACAATTCTTCAGAGGTCTATGGGAAATGAATTGGCACTTTCAGTCCACTGCTTATTGGACAGATATTTATACATCATCAAGACTGATCTTTCTGTTGACAGTTTCAGACGTTAGACCTAAAACTGAAAAGACAAAGACTGAACTACCCTCTCGTTCTTAGAGGCAATCCTTCCAGAACAAGGTTGACGCACCCTGGTGAGCACTTTAGAGAACCCTGCACTGCTACTACTGGGTTATAGTCTTGCTCTGTGGATGATTTCATTCCTAAAGCTGATAACACATTTCACCAACAGAAAATTTACATTTGAAAATTTATCATTCAATTTCTACAACTGATTTTAAAAAATGAATGTACAAAAAGGAAATTTTGTTTAAGAGTTTTGTACAGGAGGACCTCTTGGAAAAAAATGCTTCACATATAGCAGGGCGAAATGCAGAATGATCCATCACATTAGAAAGGCTTATAAAGAAATTAAGCGTTAGAGAAGCATTTTTGAGCACTGTATTATAATACAACAAAATACACTGCTTTCTGGTGAATAAGCAGCTCTACAAGCAACCCCTCTCAACACCATTTGTGTGTGAACTTGTAACAAGAGTAAACAGTAATATTTTTTATAATTAGTCTTTCCCAGTCAAGGAAGCTTTCTAAATGTCATTTCTATCTGATCTTGAAGATGCAGCTACAAAACACTGCTCAAATTATTTACAGTATTTCTCATGTTACGAATCACTAGTTCTGTTCCAAAAAGTATTTTCTTCAAACTGTTTGTAAGCATCATTAAATGAATAACCAGAACAGGTTTATAAGTTTAGCTCTGTTTAAAAAATGAATGGTTGGTCAGAAGCACAAAGCTGTTCCAGAACCATCATTCAATGATTAGTCTAAACTGTGAGCTACTCCAACATCAGTTTCCTGGAATGACAGACAAGATAAGCATGAACATTTTACTTTTTAATCTAGTAAGCAGCATCTACACCAATCAAGTTTCACACAGTTATCAGAAAGTTTGTCAAAGGAATGGAGAAACAGCCTTTAGAAAAGAGCAGGTCAAGCTATTCTGGAACCGTGTGCTTCTCAAACTGTAAACACTGATTATCTCTCAGGGTAGCAACTGATAGCAGCTCCATGGCTAAATATTGCTAAAATGTACCACATTGGCTTTGCTTTCTCACAAAATATAAGATACGTTATCAAGGCTCATCCTCTGGGCGTTCAAAGCGCCTGTTCTCAATTGTACACTGTGCCCCTTAAAATACTGAAAAATTATTCATCCCATCAATGAGCTCTATTGGTAGAAGATATTCGCTCCCCCACCATCCTCCTCCATGCTCAGAGGATGCTCATTTTTACCTCATCCTTCCTGAATTCTGCCCACAGCCAACCAACCCCTACCAGCCACAAGCAAGCTGGATGTGGATCCCTCTGAAATTAGCTTACTGTGCCCCAGAACGAAGTGGAGGAGCTGTTTGAGGACTAAATGTTTTCAGACCTTGTTTGTCCATGAATGAGACTGCACTGGAGTCCCACAGTTAAGCACTCTACATAGCATTCTGAGCTACAACTAGACCATCAAACCAGCACAATTTTCTCTATGCTGGAAAAAACCCAGTGATTAATTTAAAAAGCTAAAGATCTGGGATCTACTGGGCTTAACCTGGTGGATGACAAGTAATAAATGTTAGACTACCATATGGGTGATTTCGGTGCAAATATTAAAATGCCTTGGCTAGCAGGAGCTAGAAGCATCAAAGTTGCAGCTCATAAATATGGCTGCTTAATGTATGGCCAAAACTTTTTTTGGTTTTAAATTTCCTTCGTAACATAGCACCTTTTCTCTACAAAAGAAACTATAAGGTCTTGATTCAGGGACAGGTCTTCTGGTGCTCATACTAAAGAGTCAGGTAGTTCATGCTGAAAATTTAGCTTTAGTATAGTTATTGCAAAATCCAATATTAATAGAAATGTTTCATAACTTGAAAAAAATTAGAATGAATGGTTTGTTTCTTTTTAACCATTCCCTTGCACTGTCTCCAACTCAACAATGGCATTCTGAAACCAGAAAAGTCTATTTTGGCTGAACAAGATGAATGAAATGCAAAAGATAAACAAGGTAGAAGAAGAGAGAAAACATTCAAAAATTACTCCTAGTTATTAATTTAAGGTGTTAGTAGCACAAGTTTATTAATTTTTAAATATAGTTGTAATCTCTCAACTATAATCTCAGAAAACATGAAGAATAAAATACAATTCGAATAGCTAAAAAACAATTTTTAAAACTGAAAAAAACAAAAGCAATTTGAGCACCACTCAAACCAATAAGGTAAACCAGTGGCTCTCAACCTTTCCAGACTACTGTATCTCTTCCAGGAGTCTGATTTGTTTTGCGAACTCCCAAGTTTCACCTCACTTAAAATCTACTTGTTTACAAAATCAGAAATAAAAATACAAAAGTGACAGCACACTATTACTGAAAAACTGCTCTCTTTCTAATTTTTACCGTATAATTATAAAATAAATCAACTGGAATATAAATATTGTACTTACATTTCAGTGTATACTATACAGAGCAGTATAAACAAGTCATTGTCTGCATGAAATTTTAGTTTGTACTGACTTTGCTAGTGTTTTTTTTATGTAGCCTGTTGTAAAACTAGACAAATATCTAGATCAGTGGTTTTCAAACCGTAGGTTGAGACCCAGAACTGGATCGCAGAACGGAAGGGACTGGGTCGCAGTGGCTCTGGTCAGCATTGCTGACCAGGCTATTAAAAGTCTGGTTGGCGGAGCTGCCCAGCTAAGGCAGGCTAGTCCCTACCTGCTCCAACACTGCGCTGTGCCACGGAAGCAGCCAGCAGCAGATCCGGCTCCTAAGCGTGGGGGAGGAGACGGGGTGCCCAAGGGACTCCATGCACTACCTCCGCCCCAAGCACCAGCTCCACACTCCCACTGGCCGGGAACTGGCCAATCGGAGTGGAGCTGGGGGGGAGCAGTGCCTGCGGGCAAGAGGTAAGGAGAGCCCTGCAGCCCCCCTGCCCAGGAGAAGGACCTGCTGCTGGCCGCTTCCAGAGCACAGTGCAGTCACTGGACAGACAGGAAGCCTGCCTTAGCACCCCCGCTGCGCCACTGACCAGGAGCCGCTGGAGGCAAGCCCACGCCCCCATCCTCTGCCCTGAGCTCCCTGCAAACCCGGTGCACCTTCCTGCATCCCAAACCCCTCATTCCTGGCTCCATCCCAGAGCCTGCATCCCCAGGGCAGAGCGGTGACCCCCTACTGCACCCCAATCCCCTGCCACAGTCCTGAGCCCCCCCTCAAACCTAGAACCCCCTCCTGCGCCCCAAACTCCTCATCCCCCTCCCACACCCCAACCTCCTGCCCCAGCCCAGGGCCCCCTTCCCACACCTCAAACCCCTCATTCCCAGCTCTGCTGGGTCACGGGCATCAGCAATTTTCTTCAACTGGGTGGCCAGAAAAAAAGTTTAAAAAACACTGATCTAAATGAGTTGATGTACTCCCTGGAAAACCTGTGTGTACCCCCAGGGCTGAGAACCACTGAGGTAAACTATTCAAAAACCTCGAAGTTGATGTTCATTTGGAAAATTTCCTTGACCAGAGTCTTGAATGTCTTTGCTTACAGGGACAACTAAAAAAAAAAAAAAAAATCAGTCTGAACATTTTATACATGTTATTTTCATAAAACTTATTATGGTAGCTAAAAATGATCACAGAAAAAATATTTTCCTGCTTACTCTATCCGTTTGACAACATTTATCAATAGCAAGTTTCACTGTTCCCTCCATATAGTTATTTCCCCTTGATTGTGTTGGTCTTTTACATAGCAAGAGATTAATACAAAAAAATTAAAAGTCAGATCCCTACATACACATTTTTGTCACAGACTCTGCTGGACCCTAGAGCTCAGTTATGAAAGAAAATCAAGCTTAGAGTTTAAAAACAAACAAACAAAAAAAACCCCTTCAGTCCAGACCAACATTTTGTACCACATCCTATGGCTTGCCCATTATCATATGGAAGTTGGTCTAATAGAATGGTATATCTAGGCTCTGGTTTATGAGGTAGGACGCAGTTACATGAAACCATGTATGTGTGGAATAACTGTGGATAGGTGTGTCATGTTTTTACTCATCATGTCCAATCTTCATATTTCATATGCAGAAATGACATGCCCAAAGTTTCCACTGCCCATTAGAGGAGGTAATACACATTCCAATGACCACCAGTAGATCTTCTGAGTCTTCAACTGCTCATAGCCTTTTTCAAGGATACACTTTGGGTTATAAGCTCTGTTGGCTAGATCTGTTCATAGCTGTTCGTGCATTGGTGCTACTTCTCAGCCACAGAAAGAAATTTTATAGGGATGGGGCTTTTATAATGGTGCAATATAAACCATGTTACTGACAGCCGTGTGTCTGCAAATTCCGCCGGAGGCTACTTCTTCAACATTCAATTTGCACTATACCCATTTAGATCCATCAGCATTAGTCCACACGGTTCAATTTACTCACTTACCACATACCTAAGTCTGGTTTACCATAAAATAACATCTCTTCAATTAGTGCAGGTCTGGAGGAAAGTTGTTTCAGTTTTGAGTGACCTCCACGAGATTTAAGTGCTATTCTCTTTCAGGTTTCTAATTGCTGTGTTTTATAAATTCTCTATAATAAGGATTGGCCCTTCATCAGAAGTAGAAGAGATCTCCTTTGTCAGTGGATTTCAACCTGGGGTCTGCAGACTCTCTCTAAGGAGTCTGTGAAAAGTTTTCATTACCAGAGAACAATGGTTTTCAACCTGGGGGTTGACAGACTATGTCTAAGATTTCCAAAGCGGTCCACACCTCCATTTGAAATTTTTTAGAGGTCCACAAACGAAAAAAGGTTGAAAAGCACTGTCTTATGTGAAAGCATTACAGTTACTGATGAGAGGTTCCTGGCAGCAGCCAGAGCACAGAACTAAAAGGGGTGATTTTAGTTGTAACTATTCTCAAAGTGCGTGTTAAAATGTTTGTAATTTTATTTTGCATATTCAATATTTTGCACTTTTGTAGTACCTTCCATCCAAATATCTCAAAGTACTTGATCTCCATTAAGCCAAAGAACACCCCTGTGAAGTAGAGAAGTCTCCACTTATCACAAATGGGGAAATGGAGACAAGAGTTTAATCCTGCACCCACTGAAGTCAATGGTAAAACTCCCATCGATTAATATGGTGCACAATCAAGGTACTAATGCCCAAATCCTGAAATGTATTTAGGTTCCTAAATTCCATTGGCACAGATGGAAGTTAAGCGCCTAAATACTTTCGAGGATCTGGGCCTAAGTGACCTGCCTAAGGTCACACTAGAAACCTGTGCTGGAGCAGAATACTGAATATATAGTACTGAAACCACTGTACAGCATCATATCTACAAGACAGGTAAAAATGTGCTTGCAGCTGCACCATAAGGGGCATATCACTTTTCTGCAGCTCTTATGGAAACTTTTGGCAACATCTGCCTAATAAGCTCATTAGCCAGGTGTATATACTCATGGTTGTATTTACTGATAACTTTACAAGGCGTTTTCTTTAAAAAAAAAAATAAAAATAAAAAAAAAAATCCAACATATCCCTTACCTTGTAATGGGAATACTCTCCGAATTAAACCACTACTTACAACATTTTTTATTATTTCTGAACTTGGTTTTCTATGGGGAAATGAACAGATCTACAATTTTACTGGGACATGATGCAATACTATCATTCCCCATCATCAATGCAAATTCCAAAGGGACACAGCCTCCGTGCAGCTCAAGTACCACTCCAATTATCTTTAGCTAAGTCCTTAAGACAGTCTGGCTGGATGTTCAGTCTATGACTCTCTTTGGCAATCTTATTGTGGCACTTAAGCTTTTGATGACTGCCTAATCACCAGCCATGTAGCACCATTAGTGGGCAAACAGGATTTGTAATTTGTTATACCATCACTGTTTTTAACTAAACATATTTTTCTTTTGATAACGACAAATTCAGTGAACTTTCACACAGATAACCTTTTATATAAAAAAGTGATAGAGAACATCACTTTGGCTTCTAGCAAAGGGCAACTCCCTAGAAACTTAATAGGATGAAGCAATTATAAACCTTTTCTACTAAAATCACATTTAAATTCAAACATATATGTAGAACCAATACCAGTTATGCACCCAGAAAAGGATGTTGAATGACTGATCAAATGTTCTGGCTGATGAACCAGAAAGTAGTGTTTTTGTTCCAGTTTCAAGGCAGGCTGCCCACCCAACCTCAGCATTCCAACTCCACCTTAATTGCTCCTCTTAAAACAACAATTTATGGCCCAGATTGGAGCCAAGCTGTCTCTATGCTAGACCCAATTACAGCCCCTCCTCTCTGAATTGTTGTATAGAGTTCAAAAGTCTGGGACTCAGAGGCTCTAGATCAGAAGTGGGCAAACTACGGCCCCGTGGGCCACATCCGGCCCATCAAACCATTTAATCCGGCCCTCAACTCCTGCCAGGGAGCAGTGTCGGGGGTTTGCCCTGCTCCTGTGCTCCAGCCAGGGAGCTGGGTCGGAGGCTTGCTCCGCTCCGCGCGGCTCCCAGGAAGCAGCCAGCATGACCCCCGTCCGGCTCCTATGTAGTATGCAGAGGTGTGGCCAGGCAGCTCTGCACACCGTTCCATCCACAGCTCCCATTGGCCGCAGTTCCCTGCAGGGGTGGCACCTGCAGACAGGGCAGCACACAGAGCTGCCTGGCAGCGCCTCGGAGCTGGAGGGGGGACATGCTTCTGGGAGCTGCTTGCGGTAGGCACCACCTGGAGCCTGCCCGAGTTCCCCCCCCCCCGGTACCCCAATCCCCTGCCAGAGCCCTGATCCTCCTCCTGCCCTCTGGACCCCTCAATCCCAGCCCAGAGCCCCCTCTTGTACCCCAAGCCCCTCATCCCCAGCCCCACCTTAGAGACCTCACCCCCCCGTGCCTCAACACCCTGCCCCATTCCTGATCCCCCTCACTCTTCTGCACCCAAAACCCCTCATCCCTGGCCCGGCCCCACCCCAGAGCCCTCACCCCACACCCCCCAACCTGGAGCCCCCTCCTAAACCCTGAACTCCTCATTTTTGGCCCCACCGCAGAGCCCGCACCCCCAGCTGGAGCCCTCACCCCCTCCCGCAATTTCATGAGCACTCATGGCCCGCCACACAATTTCCATACCCCGATGTCGCCCCCGGGCCAAAAAGTTTGCCCATCCCTGCTCTAGATTCCATTGGGAAAGCATACAATAATTTTAAGGGAAAACTGCAGCAAGACACTCAAATCGATATTCCAAATACAAGAAGGAGATTGGTAGGGAAACACAGAAGATTCTGAAGTCTGGAAGCCAATGAATGATACATAGATGGGAAAGACTGCAGAGCAAGCTTTCCAGTGCCCTTAAATTGACAGTCTCAAATACCCAGCCCTTCTGCAATCCCTCAGGGACATTAAGCAACCTGTTTTGGTTTTCCAGTTTTAAAAATCTTGTTGCCAATGACTTTATTCCACTCAAAATACTATGCTGCAAGAACATTAAGGTTAAAGCAGCAGAAGTCAGGAAAAGGCTACAGTGAATCTATGACCCTAATGAGCATGCACTAAAATACGGTCTAAGTTAAAGACCACATACTAGTTCTAAAAAATTCAAATACACTTTTCTACAAATCAGATGAGTATGCACAGCATCCTGTTGTTTTTTTTCCCATTGTCATAAACTGGAACATTTTGTCCTTTACTGACCAAGACCTATAAGTCTTCATTAACACTCACATACTAAAAACTTATTTATAGTAAATAAGCCTTCCTTGAGTAAAATTCAGGGAATAAGTTACTAAGAAAAAAGCTAATGTAGCTGTGAATTTGTGGCCTTTATATGCCAGGAAGTTTTGCTAATGACTCTGTATGGTACATTTAGCATGAAGTATGATGCGTAAGTATGGTTTATTGTATACCTTTCATACAAATGGCTTTCATAAACTCAGGCATACACAAACATCTTGTATTACTGTGATCTAAGGTTATAGAAAAATGTATTAAATTGCTTACACCATATGTGATCATTAAAGATATTGCAGAGAATACACAGAAGGGGGAGAGTTACCTAGCATATGAAACCATAACTTAATTGACTTTCCATAGTGTGAGTCCTTAGTTGTACAACTTCAACATTCTTGTCACATAATTTCTTAAGGTTTTCTAAAAGAAAAAAATAAAACAAATTGTTCTTAACTGTCCTGCAGGTTTGCAAAGAACTCACAATAGCATGTGTAAATTCTATAATCTGGAATTATTCTGCTAGACCCCACTAAACCACATTGTCCCTTACATTTGAAGTCAACAGGGGTGCCTTAGATGTCTATCTTCAGAAGCCCACAAGAAATAGCCTCTCCTATGAACCTTAGCAGCTGCATCTAAAAGGCCACACAGCAGAGTTCCCCCTGCACATCTCACTGAGAAAAGCAACCCTACCTAAGCCCCTCCGCACTACACAGATGGCCTTGCCTACAAGCAGAAGTTGCACTAATTTCACTTGTATCAGTGCAGGGAGACAGGGAAGCCTCAACTCCTGTAAACCTGAAATGCATTTTTTCACTCTACAATTAAGTTAATCATGCAAGTAAATCCTGCTGATCCGGCTTCCTTTGAAGACAATGGCTATGGCTAAACACCTATTAAAAGCAACAGAAGCAGGACTGGGCCCTTGAATAGTATAGACCCTCTGACATGGAACATGAGAGCTCTTTCAACAATGCATCGTAACAACATATAACTATTTAGGATAGGCAGCAAATACAAGTATTCCATTAAAACGGCAGGAGAAAACTGAGTAGACAATTTTCAGAGGAACAGCCGTGTTAGTCTGTATTCGCAAAAAGAAAAGAGTAAATTGGTTAGTCTCTAAGGTGCCACAAGTACTCCTTTTCTTTTTGAGTAGACAATGTAATTTTAAAGGTGTAAGACATCTAACTACTACAAGACACAAACAGATCAAGTGTTAGAGATAGAATACAACACACAGGCAAATGAATTACCTGTCAAAACAAAAGTTAAAGGTTCTGTTTTTCCTGCAACTGCTGATTCCTCACTAATACCAAAAACAAATGCCTCCACCCCAAAATTTACACCAAGGTAAGTGAAGGTATCAAATGTTACCAGGGAAACAGAACCCCAAAGCTCTGACTGAAGAATGGACAAGACCACTACAGTATTTAGCACCAGTAAATTTCCTTAGCTGGCTGGAGTGATCACTGCTGAAAAAGGAGAAAGAAGTTCCTTGCCCTCTCCAAACAGGTACACTATGTTAGAAGTAATTTCAGCCCCTGCCAGTCCAGGGTAGCAGAGACAGGAGCAAGGGAATGCAAACCATCTAACACAGTACTACCACCAGGCCACTTGCCCCCTACCTGCTTTCAGATTTCACCTGTACCCATTACTTGGCTCATTTTATCCATAAATCTACATTAATTCCACATAAAACTGATTTTATTCCGTTTGTTGTAAAAGCGAACAAAGGCTGACATTCATTTTGTTTTAAGAGAAAGAAATTAACCCCAGCACACTGCAGTCCTCCACCGGCCACGGCTGCCGGCTTCATTTCACAGCAATCCAAGCTAGAAAAGCTCTCCGGGGCTGCCTCGGAAGGGCGCTGCTCCCGCACGGGCTTTCTTTCTGCATCGGTGTCCCACGTTGCAAATAAACCTCAACTGTATTTTAAACGCCAGCGAAAAGGAGGATCCAACCCGCACCCCAGTAACTGCGGCTCCCTGCGCAAATTTCACCTGAAGGAGCGTCTCATTTCGGGCAGCTGGGCAGAGCAGGCGGGGGACAAGCCCCCTCCGCTCCCACAGCGCCGAGAGCCGTGGCTGGAAAGGCCCCCGCCGCGCGGCTCCCGGGAACGGGCAACGGACTCTGGGGCTGGCAGGGACATCCAAGGCCCGACCCAGCCCAGCCCAGCCCAGCCCAGCCCGTGGCCCCCCCGCTCCGCCCCACCGACCAGCTCAGGTCCCCCCAGCTCTCCCGAAAGCCCCCCCTCCCCCCGGCCGGCTCTCACCGACACGGCGCTCAGCCCCTGCTGCTCAGACGCCACCATCAGGATCTCCCGGAAATCCATGTCTGCCCGGGGCAGGCTCCGCTCTGCGGCTCCGGCGGCGAGACGGTCCCCAGACCTCCCAGCTGAGGAGGCCTCACTCCAGCTGCAGCGCAGCTCCGCTCCGCCCCGCCCCCCCGACCACTTCCGGCCCCTCCACACTGACGGCTGCGCCGAGCCAACTTCTTATATGACCTCGTATACGTCAGCACCTTCATACGTCACTTCCTGGTCAACGTCACATTCCCCCCCCGTGCCTGGGACACGTATAATCAACAACACGTGACTTGGGTTCTACCGGCTCCACCCCTTCCCCGCTGCAGGGAGACAGAATCAGGGCTTTAGGCTGCGCCCTCGAGGTGCGGGGAGGGGACGGGATCAGAGCTCTGGCTCCACCCCACAAGGAGCGGGGAGGGTGGGGGAATAAGAGTTACCCACCAGGGTACAGGTAGGTGGAAATCAGCTAAACAGTCTTCCCACCTCCCCAACCCCTGCCCTTAGGATGCAAGGGAGGGGTATCAGAGCTACACTCCCTCGTCCAGGATGCAGGGAATTGGGGAATCAGTGGTACCGGCTCCCCGCCCTTCTCAAAAAAAGGCAGGGAAGGAGAGAATCAGGCCTCTACACCCTCTCTGATGCAGTCTGGGATGGTGGCGGGATCCAGAGCTGCACAAGAAGCCCAAATATTCCTAAACTAATTAAAAATTTAAATTCCAGGTACAAGTTCTAGAACATGCTGCAAACTACTCCCTTCTCGGCCTGGCATCACCAGTCTTGCTAACTTGCAGTTTCATGGCGACTTCTGTGATACTTGGTGTTTTTCTTAAAGCATCAGTTCCTGGAATCGTGATTGTAACGGATTCTCAGTTTTCATTTTTTAAAAAAGTAATTTTTAGCTCCTCTGGTTGCAGAGAAAATGCGACCTCTAAAGACTCAAAAGCCAGACGGTTAATGAAAAGAACCCAATTTTTGTTATCTTTTTAAACTCTCATAATTTTAAGGTGCTCTCACGATTTTAGGGAGGGGGGCTGATTCATGCCTTTTGAATGCTTGCAGTGGGCAATACTGCATCACAAAACTTCAAAAGGGCAAACATATACTTCAGGAAAGAGTGTGTGCCATATACTTCCAAACCTCTCCTTCCTCCCCTGTACACACATAAATTGGACTCCTAAAATACTTGATAGCCTAACAGTACTCAGAATTCTATACAGGAGCAAAATCTGTAGCCCAACTCTAATTGCAAACTTCATGACTGGGACAAAATCCCAATAAAAATCCCATATCTGCAGTTCTGCAAAAATTAGGAACTCTCATGAAGACTGTAAGGCAATTTCACTTTGGCTATCAAGATACGAAAAAGGGCACTCAGCTTCTGGTGCTGTGCCAACTAAAGCAGCAGGCACTCTGTGTACCAAAAATGGAAAACCTGATAACACATTCCATTCCCCATAGCAGCAGGTCTGAGCAATGCTCAGCTACAGAACAACAGAGTAAACATCTCAACACAAACTCAAACGATCCTCAAATCAGTGACAAAACCCAAAAAGACAACACAAACTACTGAAAAGAACAAATGAGAGGTAATACTGAGTCCCATCAATACCCTTAACTCTACCATCTCCTTCTCTTTCAACTCATTTGTTCCTACCAGATCCCAGCCCTGGCTTATACCTCAGATCCACTTCCTCTGGCCTGATTTGCCTCTCAAAGAAAAAAGAAAAGGAGTACTTGTGGCACCTTAGAGACTAACCAATTTATTTTATAAATTTTTATTTTATATAATTTATTTATAAATAAATTGGTTAGTCTCTAAGGTGCCACAAGTACTCCTTTTCTTTTTGAGAATACAGACTAACACGGCTGTTCCTCTGAAACCTGTCAAAGAAAAAAGGAAACCTAGAAGATTTTTTTGTGTATAAGATTGCCCTCTTCTCCTCCAATTCTGTCATCTTTTTCACCAAACAGTCCTATTTCTCCTACCTCAAAATCCCAACACTTGTTTGCCAGTTTTTACTCCCTCCTTAAACTCTCCACCACCACTCACCCTCTCTATCCAGGTTCTTGTTGACTGCAGGAAGATTGGAAAGATCAGACTTTCCCCATTCCTCCTCTCCTCATCCTTTCCTTTCCCACATCCCTTCTTTCCATTCACCAAGTGAGGGGGTGTTTTTTAGGATGGGGGAATAATTCCTTGTACATACAGGGAAAGCAGTAAGAGGACAGAGAGAGTTTCAAGGCGAGAGAATTCTGAGGGCAGGGCCAAAGAAGGTGAACAACAGAAGAGTGAGTCAAAGGGGAAAGTGGAGGAATTGAAAGTGGAGAACAGATGACCTGAGGTTAGTCATTTATTCTCCACTTCCAGTTCCTCCATTTTCCCCTCACAGTTCCCTCACCTTGAAACTCTCTCTGTCCTCTTTCTGCTTTCCCTGTATGTATAAACAGGCATTTATTCCTGCATTCTAAAAAAATCCCCTCACCTCATCCATCTCTGTCCTCCCCTTTACTTCTAATCTCAGTGGAAGTCTGGCTACAAGTGCTGCATCAACATCCTTTCCTTTGATTTACTCCTAGATCCCCTCCACACTGTGTTCTAGCCCCTTCATTCTACTAAAGTCCCCAACAACCTCCTCAGCCAAATTTCAGGGCCTGTGCTCCTTCCTTGACTTTATCACTGGCTTTGGTACAGTGGATCACTTATCTTCAACATTCTGTCTTGCCTCAGAATTTATTATACTGTTTTCTCCTGGTCCTCTTCCTACAAAATTCATCTAGGGTTTCTTTCACTAGAACTTCCCGGCTTATTTCCTCATTTGTCATGCCCCTGCCCTCCCTTTCTAGGTAGGCCTCCTGGCTTTGGTTATGACTCAGATTCCTGTGCAGTGGTCACAACCGGTTGATCGTGATTGACTGGTCGGTCATGGAGCATCTGACAGTTGATCTCAGTCTCAGTCAAGGGTTGCCAATCCTCCTGCAGCCAAACCGGGAGATTGGCCACTAACAGTCCGGTGGCACAGTGGGGCTAAGGCAGGCTCCCTGCCTGCCCTGGCCCCGTGCCACTCCTGGAAGAGCACCCTAACCCCCTGCCTCAGTCCTGAGCCCCCCACCACCAAACTCCCTCCCAGAGCCTGCACCCCGAACTCTGGCCCCAGCCCTGAGCCCCCTCCCACACCCCAACCCGCTCCTAGAGCCTGCACCCCACACCTCCTCCTGCACCCCAACCTGCTGCCCGAGCCCCCACCCAGAGCCAGCACCCTGCAACCCATCCTGCACCCCAACCTCCTACCCCAGCCCTAAGCCCCCTCCTTCACCCAAACTCCCTCCCAGAGCCTGCACCCTGAACCCGCTCCTGCACCCCAACCCCCTGCCCCAAGCTGAGGCCGGAGCCCCTCCCACACTCCGAACCCCTCGGCCCCAGCCCAGAGCCTGCACCTCAACCCCCTGTCCCAGCCCAGTGAAAGTGAGTGAGGGTGAGGGAGAGTGAGTGATGGAGGGAGGGGGAATGGATTGAGTTGGGTGGGGCCTTGGAGAAGTGGCGGGGCAGGGGCACGGCCTCAGAGAAGGGGCAGGGCAGGGGGTGGGGCAAGGGGTTTGGGTTTGTGTGATTACTGTTATTTCTACATTTTCTTTGAGGTAGATCATGGGTTGCACTTAAATTCAAAAAGTGATCTTGTGCTTAAAAAGGTTGGAGACCACTGCTGTATTGCAACAACAGTCCTTGGGGACAGATTTCAGAGTAGCAGCCATGTTAGTCTGTATCCGCAAAAAGAAAAGGAGTACTTGTGGCACCTTAGAGACTAACAAATTTATTTGAGCATAAGCTTTTGTGAGCTACAGCTCACTTCATCGGATGCGTCCTAGGGGAGTAAGGCTATTAGTCTGGGGCTTCTGTGTTTGCTTAGTTTAATCTTTTTTGCATTTGATAATTACATTTGGTCCCATACACTCTCTTTATTCTGCTGACTAATCCTGGGAATGAGTGCAGGAACTAGGGTAACCAGATAGCAAGTGTGAAAAATTGGGACAGGGGGTGGGGGGCTATAGGTGCCTATATAAGACAAAGCTCTGAATATTGGGACTGTCCTAATCAAGTTGAGACGTCTGGTCACCCTAGTAGGAAACTGATCTTTTCCTAGATCTGACAGGATAACAAAAGCCAGTCTTGGATACAAGCACTATGATTCCTTAGAGTCCTGCATTTCTGTGACGCTCAGTACCCAGTTGCCACTTTTTCTTATGCATCATAATAGAGTGACAACCCCGCCAACATTGTCTCTACACTAGTGGTGGTTAAAATGATGCTGTGTCTGTGTGTCATCAGGTTGTGTGGTGTATACATTTCATGGGCCACTGATGAGTGACTTTGGGACATGTAAACATTCCCAGGCAGTGCCTGAGGGATGGATATCATTTCCATAAAATACGAGTGATTTCAGAAATTTGAGCACATTTACACATCATCTTGTAGCCTGGCATCACCCAGTCTCCTCTCTGGCAGTAATGTGACACAAGGGACTGGAAACTTGCTGCTGTTACAGCTACAACCCTGTATCTTCAGCCAGCTCCAATACATCATTTAAGGAAGTCACTTCCTACATTTTGTCTAGTCCCATGAACTTCTCATATGTTTGACCACAATGTAAAGAATAATTCCAAAATAAACTCATCAGACTTTCCCAAAATAGTGATTCAACTCATGGAGGACAACACAGTATACCAACTCCAGAGTTTCGAAGCCTGATTTCCTGTTATGACCTGGCATAAAAAAGGTAGGAGATTTTTCTTCTGATTTTGTTTTTTTCCAAACTTTCTGATCTGACTGATCCATTGCCTAATTACCCTCAAACTTTCCACAACATAATTAAAAAAAAACTTACTGAAGATGAGAAATTTCAGTTAGATTGGTTCATTTTGGGTACAACCGCTTGACATTTTTCAAAGAAAATTTCACATTTTTTCTATTAGTTTATAGAGCTAGCTAATTGTTTTAAAAAATTATGCATCTCAATACAAGTTTGGAGCAAAAAAAATGTCCCCATGTTACCACGATTTGCCAACCAGTTCTAGTTTTAGCAAAGTTAAAGGAAGTTTTTAAAAAAAGCTTTATAGTGAGAAGCTACTTACAACTAGAACTGGTTGAAAAA